TCCTATTCTTTATTTTTTCCTTACTACTACATAATTTGAAAATAATTTATTATTCTAGCTTCTTTCTGATACAAGTAATTTAAGTTATAAATGTTTATCTGAGTACTATTTCATCCCAGAGATCCTGATATTTTAAGTTTTTATTATCACTTAGTTCAAAGCACTTTCTATTTAGTTTTCTTCTGCTTTCTTCCTTGACCTCTGAGATATTTATAAGTGCGCCATTTAATTTTGAAATAGTTGACATGGGGGGGTAAGGTTCTATATATCTTAAGGTGATTGATTTCCAATGTAATAAATCATGCAGGAAACAGTCTGCATAATTTCAAAGTTTTTAAAAAAGTAATGGAAATGCTGTTTATATTGATTGTATTGGTTACATACAAGTCAAAACTGATCAAATTGCATACTGCAAATATGTGCATTTTATTGTACTTCAATTTTACCTCAATAAAACTATGGAAAAAAAATATTTCACTTCTTTTTACTGCTCAAAAGTAAGTATTCCATTCATAAAATATTTTGGAAGAAATCACCAAAAAAAACTTATTAGTTTCTGAGTCTTCACCTGCCATTCCTTAGGAATGTGGAAACAATAATCAAGGCAGTAGAATGATATAGTGACAAAAAACATTTAACAATATTTTGCTGTTCTACCTCACTCTTATTCTAATAGGTCATCCTCCATCTGTGGATTATTTTAAAAACATGAGGGGCAGGGGTTGTGGCTCAGTGGTAAAGTGCTTGTGCTTATCTAGTATGTGTGAGGCACTGGGTTCGATCCTCAGCACCACATTAATATGAAATAAAGATATTGTGTCAATCTAAAACTAAAAAAATAAAGAACCAAAGAAAGAACATGACTCCCTAGCATTCCTGAGGATCTAGTTTTTCCATGTGATTTTTCAACTTATAAAATGGCTACCGAAATTTTAACAATTTACTCATTTGAATATTTGATATCATACTAAAATGACAGCTAAGTCAACCTTATTGATGACAATTAAAAAGCTAAATGGCTGATCTGGCACAAAAAGATAAATACTGCACCCTCTCACTCACAAGTGCAAGCTAAAAATGTTGACCTCATAGAAGGAAAGAGAAGAATAGTGGTCACTAGAAGCTAGGAAGGGTAGGTGGAGGGTGTATAGAGGATGGATGACAGGTACCAAAATAGACTTACATAAAAGGAATAAGTTCTAGCATTCTACAGCAAAGTAGGGTGACTATAGTTTACAAGTTTATTACATATTTCACAAAAGACTATAGGAGAGAGTGCTAAGGCTCCCAACACAAAGAATTAATTGTTGAAGAAGACACAAATGCTAATTATCCCTATTGCATTGCATATCGCATGTATGTATCTAATTATCACTGTACCCCCCAAAATATGTCTCAATTTTTTTTAGAAAAACTGAACATTCATATGATATCCTTCAGTATTTATGAGAGAAAGAAATCAAAAATTATCTCATGACCTGGCATTTCTGTCTGCATGTAACCTGATACATGCTATTAATTTGAGGTTTTAAAAAAACAGTCTTTATAAACATTTTTAAATCTACTAGTATATCAATCTGTATATAGGTATTACAAAATTATTTTATACATACAAATTTTTATTCCTTAAATACATATAATAAATTTGAGAAGAAACTATAGTTCAACAGGTTTAAATAAAAATTGCTATGAGTTTAGAGGCCTAAATTTCAATCAATTCAGATAAACATACAAATTTCACACAAATATACAAATGTCTTAAAAAGTTTAAAGTAATTGTAATATATTTTAAAATAAGGCAAAAGATTGGTTAGCAAGAAATTCATAAGCCTAATTATTTATCAAATTTCAGTTCAACAGAATAAAAACCACTGCTGAATTCATTAGCTATGTTCATTAAGGAAAAAAAAAATCAATTCACTGCCTTAGAGAAAGCTAGCTGTATTAGAATCAGAACTTTAAAAAAGTAAAAATCAAATACCTGATTTCAGCATCATGGGCACAGTCAATGTGAAGAGCTGATGAAAAATCTAATTTTTCCATTCTTGGATTTGGTAAATACAAATTCTGATCTGTATTGACCACTACCAGCTTCTAGATGTTAAACACAGAACCATTAAAGAAATAATTTTCTAACCTGCCTCCTTTAGGTGACTAAGCAGCTCAGACTATCTTCTGACTATATAGCAAAACATATTCTAATGAAGGGTTTGGCCTGATGATTACACTCAAGTCTTGAAAACTGAACAACCATAATAAGGAAATGAAGGAGGAACAACAGTCATACATTCTGAAGGTTAATTTCTTAATAATGACACATGACCATTATATTTCCATATTGTAATTTAGAAGACTAATATTAATCAAGAAAAAAAGCTGTTAGATATTCATTTTACTTAACTAAGAATATTTAGCTGCTTCTAAAAGAAAATTTGGAACTATCACATACAATGTACAGATTCATCATGGACTGCCTAATTTAATCAGTGGCAAATTACCAATTCAAATAATTGTCTTTAAAAAAAATCTTAGAAACAGAATATAAATGGACTTAACTAGAAAACTAAAATAAATTTCTTCGAAATTACTTCTATTTAAAATTTTTAAAAAAACAAATACTTTTAGGAGGAATAAGTTTGAGATCTACTGAACTATAGTACTGTAACACAGTAACTATAGTCAATAATAAGTCTTATATACCTGAAAATTGGTAAGAAAGTAGATTTTAAGTGTTCTCACCACACACACACACACACACACAAAATTGGTAAGTATGTGAGATAGTATGTGTTAGTTTTATTTAGCCATTTCACAGAATACACATTTTTTAAAACATCATTTTTTAAACCATTAATTCATGTAATTTTTGTCAATTTAAAAAATAAAGCAAGGCACACTGGTGCACACCTATAATCCCAGCAAACTAGGAGGTTTGCAAGTTTGAGGACAGCCTGGGCAACTTGGGGAAACCTTGTCTCAAAAACTAAAGAGGGCTGGGGAAGTAGCTCAGAGGTAAACACCCTGGAGTTTCATCCCTAGTACCACAAAAATGAATGAATGAATGAATAGTTTAAAAATTAAAAATAGATTGGAACCTAATTTTTTATTTTATAAAAACTTCAATTGAAGATGCTTTTTCTATTATTTCTACTGTTTCATATTGCACCCTACTATGTAAAAAATGTAGGTGGAGAGGCCATCTAAAACCTTCAGGAAATACCATTCTAAATGAGTCAGAAAAGCATCCAGTCTATGGTATATTAAATACAATTAGAATGTTTACTAGGTGATCCCTCTTCATTGCATAATTCTAGCCTTTGTTTTCATTGATAAAAATGTTACAACCTTGGGCTGGGGTTGTAGCTCAGTAGCAGAGCACTCACCTAGTATGTGTGAGGCACTGGGTCTGATCTTCAGCACCACATAAAAATAAAAAAATAATGTCATTGTGTCCATCTACAACTAAAGAAAAATATTTTTTGTAAAAAAAAGTCACATCCTAATCAAATGTATACTTTGTAGCATAAAACTAAGAAAATAATTGAATAAAAAATATAGAATGCCTCTATATAACGATGTGTATGTCTTTTATTTACACAGACACACATAAATGCTGTTTTTCACTTTAATTCCCATGTCATACACCAACATGTCACACACAGAAAAGAATCAATACCCACTCACTGATCTAGAGTCTTGATGGAAACCAGAAATTTTTATACTTTTTCAGAGTTTGAGGAGTAACAGTAGCCTAAGACCAAGAAATGCTACACAATTACATACCATGATACCATGAGGTAAGTATAATGAGGTAAGTATCACCAGCCTGCTGTAAAACCAACTATTAATAAATAATTTTAAAAACAATACCACACCAGGCATAGTGGTACATGCCTGTAATCCCAGTAGCTTGGGAGGCTGAGAGAGGAGCATCACAATTTCAAGACAAGCCTTAATAACTCAGCTAGGGCCTAAGCAACTTAGTGAGACCCTGCCTCAAAAAAAAAGGTTGGGGATATGGCTCAGTGGTAAAGTGCTCCTGTGTTAAATCACCAGTACCAAAATTAAATATATAAAACAATACCAAATAAATATTTTCTTGATGGGCATGGTGGTACACACCTGTAATCTCAGCAGCTTGGGAGACTAAAGCAGACACATCACAAGTTCAAAGCTAGCCTTAGCAACTTAGTGAGGCCCTAAGTAACTCAGTGAGACTCTGTCTCTAAATAAAATACAAAAAAGGGCTGGGGCGGGGCTGGGGTTGTGGCTCAGTGGCAGAGTGCTTGTGAGGCACTGGGTTTGATCCTTAGCACCACATGAAAATAAATAACAAAAGAAAGATATTGTGTTCATGTTTTTAAAAAATGGGGCAGGGGGGGCCTGGAGATTCACCTGAGTTCACTCCCCAGTGCCAAAAAAAGAATTTCACTTTCAGCTGGATGTGAAGGCCCACACACTATAGTCCCAGACTAGGTAGGCTAAGACAGGAGGATCATTTGAGCCCAGGAGTTCAAGGGCAGCTGGGCAACATACCAAGAACCCATCTCAAAAAAAGAAAAAAAAAAAAAGCCAGGTATGACTGCCCGTACTACTTAGAAGGCTGAGGCAGGAAAATTGTAACTTTAAGGCCAGCTGAGCAACTTAGAGAAATCCTGTCTCAAAATTTTAAGAAGGGCTACAGATACAGTACAGAGGTACAATACTTACTTAGCATATACAATGCCCTGTATCCAATTCTCAGAATTTAAAAAAAAAAAAAAAAAAAATTAAGTGCAATTTTCTAGCAGCTACTTCTTTAAGGATTTCGTTAGTAGATGTAAGTAGCAGTATGGCAGTTCAAAGCAGTTCAAAGTCTGGACTTTGTATATGAACCAAAAACTAGCTCTATGATTTGGGGTAAATTACTTGCTTGTACATTAATTCTATCATCTGTAAAACGAGGATAATGAGTGCCCACTTCATGAAGTTGTTTGAGAATTAACCAAAAAAATACTTACCGATGATAGGCTTCTCGCCGATACTTTTTCAGAGCATGCTTATCCATGTTAGCAGGCATATCTGCTGCATTCTGTAAGCGATCACTCCAGGAGGTTGTCATTTTACCTTAATTATATGCCAAATTCTAGAAAAGAAAATCAACAATAGTTTAAGACTGCCATCAGTATAAGGATACCTGATTTTTAAAAAATATTAGAAAAACTCCAGCTTGCACACAGCCTAATACAATTATTTATTAACATACACTAAATAGGAAAATATACTGATACTTCTAAATTATGTAAATTTAGGAAAATAATTTCACATGGTAATTTTTATCCAGATTCATATACATTACTTTCAAATTAATAAGCATGGCTACCAGCAATCATTAAATATAATCCTAGATTTTAGAAAGGAACTGAGACCACAGTTTGTGATTATATATAATTTTTTTTTTTGAGAGAGAGAGAATTTTAATATTTATTTTTTAGTTTTCAGCGGACACAACATCTTTGTTTGTATGTGGTGCTGAGGATCGAACCCGGGCCGCATGCATGCTAGGTGAGCACGCTACCGCTTGAGCCACATCCCCAGCCCAGATTATATATAATTTTAACTTATGCTTTTTGTATTTTTTTATTTCTTTTTAGTTATATGTAGATGAATTTTGACATATACATACATGAAATATAACTTCCCATTCCTGTGACTGTACATGACATGGAGTTATACTGTATTCATATGAACACTGCAAAGTTTTATGTCTGATTCATTCTACTGTCTTTTCTGTTCTCTTCCCCCCTCCTGTCCCTTCATTCACCTTTGTCTAACCCAATGAACTTCTATTCTTCCCTCCTCACCCCTTAATATGTGTTAGCATCTGCATATCAGGGAGAACATTTGGCCTTTAGTTTTGGGGAACTGGCTTATCCATTTACTGGAAAATGCCATAATTTCATTCTTCTTTATGGCTGAGTAATATTTTCACTGTGTATATGTAATATGTACCACATTTTCTTTTCCATTCATGGGAAGGGTAACCAGGTTGGTTCCATATTATCTATTGTGAATTTAACTGCTATAAACATTGATGTGGCCATATCACTATAGTATGCTGATTTTAAGTTCTACGGATAAATGTTGAGGAGTGGGGATAGCTGGATCAAATGGTGGTTCCATTTCAAGTTTTCTAAGTAATCTCCATACTGCTTTCCAGAGTGGTTGCACCAATTTGAAGTCTCACCAGCAATGTATGAGTGTACCTTTTCCCCACATCCTCACCAACATTTATTGTTACTTGTATTCTTGATAACTGCCATTCTGACTATAGAGATGAAATTACAGTGTAGTTTTAATTGCTATAATGAACATTTTTTCATATATTTATTGACCGTATTTCTTCTTCTGTGAAGTGTCTATTCAGATCTTTTGCCCATTTATTGATTGGGTTGTTTGATTTTTTTTTTTTTTGGTGTTAAGTTTTTTAAGTTCTTTATATATCCTGGAGATTAATGCTCTATCTGAGGTGCAGGTGGCAAACATTTTTCTCCCATTCTGTAGGCTCTCTCTTCACGTTCTTGATTGTTTCCTTTGCTATGAAGAAGCGTTTTAGTTTGATACCATCCCATTTATTGATTCTTGATTTTACTTCTTGCACTTTAGGAGTCTTATTGAGGAAGCAAGTTCCTAAGCCAACAAGGAAGAGTTGGGCCTACTTTTTCTTCTAGTAGGTGCAGGATCTCTGGTCTAATGCTATGTCCTTTATCCACTTTTGAGCTTTTTGCAGGGTGAGAGACAGGGGTTTAATTTCATTTTGATACATCCTGGATTTCCAGTTTTCCTAATGTATGTTTATGGCACCTTTGTCTAGTATGAGATAACTATTTATATGGGTTTGTCTTTGTGTCTTCTATTCTATTCCATTGGTCTTCGTGTCTGTTTGGTGCCAATATCATGCTGTTTTTATTACTATAGCTCTGTAGTATAATTTAAGGCATTGTGATACTTATTCCTTTCTTCACTTTTTTCACTGAGGATTGCTTTGGCTATTCTGTACCTCTTTGTTTTTCCAAATGAATCTAATGACTGTTTTTTTCTATTTCTATGAAGAATGTTATTGGAATTTTAATAGGAATTGCATCAAATCTGTATAGCACTTTTGGTAGTATGGCCAATTTGACAATATTAATTCTGCCTATTCAAGAACATGGGAGATCTTTCCATCTTCTAAGGTTAACATGTTTTGAAAACAGGTTTAAAAAGCAACTTTAAAAATTCTGATAAACATAGTAACCTCAACCCATGGTGGCACAAATGTAAGTAATGAATGCTTATTTATATGTTTCTAATTATTTCATGCTTTTATATTTTTTTCTATAAATCATTTTTTCAGTTGGAATTAAAGCCTAAGGACTAGAAGAAAAAACTTAAAACTTTTCATCTTCTTAGAATAAACACCTAGAATGGGGTGGGCAACAGAGTGTCCATCTTAAATACTTTGACAAACTAGACTTACTGGCAAATGCCATAATTTCATTCTTCTTTATGGCTGAGTAAAAATCTTAGGTTTCACCTCTATTTTTGCGGTTTTCATCTACAAATGGTGTTTTTATTTATTTTGTTTGTTTGTTTGTTTGTTTACATGGTGCTGGGGATCAAATCCAGGGCTTCACACATGCTAAGCAACTATCTACAACTGAGGTACACCCTCAGTTTATTAACATTTTATTAAATTACCAGTATTTATGAAAACATCTGAAGCATAAAATGCCAAAATCATTTGACACTAATTTTCAAGTAAACCAAGTTTGTATTTTTTTTCTACACAATATCTTCATTTTATTCAATTATTTATTTTAAATATTTATTCTTAAATTTTAGGTGGCACAGTATCTTTATTTCACATATATGTGGTGCTGAGGATCGAACCCAGTGCCTCGTGCGTGCTAGGCGAGCACTCCTCCACGGAGCTACAACCCCAGCCCCCCAGTTATTTATTTTTATGTGGTGCTGAGGATCAATCCCAGGGCTGTAAGTGTACAAGGCAAGCACTCTACCACTGAACCACAACCCCAGCCCCAAGTTTGTATTTTTTTAAAAAATAAGTTAACGAGGTGAAATTCACACAAGAAAATGAACCATTTTAAAGGCCAGGCACATTGGCATATACCTGTAATCCCAGCAGCTTGAGAGGCTTAGGCAGAAGGATTGCAAGTTCAAAGCCAACCTCAACAATATAGCAAAGCTCTAAGCAACTTAGCAGGACTCTGACTCTAAATAAAATATAAAACAGGCTGGGGATGTGACTCAGGAGTTAAGTGCCCCTGGGTTTGATCCCTGGCACACAACCCCCACCCCAAAGAAAAGTGAATAAGTCAGTGATACTTAGTATATTTACATGAACATCTAACTTTACTACTTTCAAAATAGCTGTATCACTCCAAAGTAAAAATCCTTACCCATATAACAGTTTCTTCCCCCTAGTACCTGCTACTACCAATCTAAATTCTGTTTCTGTGGATTTAATGATTTTGGATATTTCATACAAACTAAATCACATAATGTATGATTTCACTAGGCATAATATACTTAAGGTTCATCCATACTGTATTATGTATTAGATATTTTTTTTACTTTTAGGACTGAACAATATTTCATTGTATGTATAATACCACAATCTGTGTTTATCCATTCATCCACTGATGGATATTTGAACTATTTCCACCTTTTGGCTATTGTGAATAGTTGGTATTTATATGCGTACAATGCATTTGACAACCAGTTTTCAAATCTTTTGGATATATAACTTAGGTCTGTAATGTTTTTGAAATAATCAAGATTTCCAAACATTTTATACAACAAAAGGACTGGCACTTGCAAAGAATTCTAATTAAAAATTTATTCAAGCATAATTGAGAAATTATTTGCTAAATGACTATAAATGAAACTTGATATACTATAGCATATTTATGGTATACTACATATTAATTAATTACCACAGATATTACCCTCAAATATCTATATATAGATACCATAGATACAATAGATATATGAGGGTAGGACTAATTTTTTTTCAGAACTGAGGACTGAATCCAGGACCTAGGCCTCCTCTACCAATAAGCTATATCCCCAACACTTTTTATTTTTTGAGACAGGATCTCACTAAATTGCCCAGGCTGGCCTTAAATCTAAGATCCTTCTACCCGAACCTCCTTAGTCACTAGGATTATAGACATGCACTACTGTACCTGTATTTTTTTTTCCCCCTATAAAGTTCATGTAGCCAAGCATGGTGGCGCACACAGGACTTTCTGTCCTGCATATCCCCGTTTTCTCTATCTGCCTATTAGTCACTTGGTAGCCTCCTTGGTTAACAGATCTAACATTACAGTATCACAATGCCTGAGTTCTAGTAATCCTTATTTGGGACCAATAACAGCCCTAGTAAATTAAGTCAAGAATTTTCCCCTTTTCATTTAAGGGTATGCTGCAAGGGTAGCAATGTTTGCAGCAATTTGGATAATTTCTTCAAATTTTCTCACCAGCCTGAAATTCACTTTTGTCTTCGTAAGTACAATTTTTATTGCATATTACTAAAGTATTTAGCTTTATGGAAGAAAGTATACCATACCCTCCATTTGCTATGAAAATGCTTCATTTTGTACTAAACAGTCACATTTTATATAAACCTCCTGATAACCCTATTCCTCAACAGATAAACAAGTAAAACCAAGAACATGTAATAGTTAGCCAGTTGGTTTTATCATTATCATTATATTATGGTTAAGGGTTTGCTCTGTAACACAGTACAAACCAACTTATTTCTAAATACTATTCCCTTAAAAAGAAAGGTTGGATGCAGTGGCACAGGCAGGTCTGTAATCTCAGAAACTCAGGAGGCAGAGACAGTAGGATCTAGGGATCCAATAGGGCTGGGGATGTGGCTCAGTAATCCAGTGCCCTTGAGTTCAATCCCTGGTACCCCCAATAAAATAAAATAAAAAGGTCTGGGGATATAGCCCAATGATACAGCACCCTTGGGTTCAATCCCCAGTACCACACACACACACACACACACACACACACACACACAACTCAGATACTAGTTTATTTTCGTTTACCA